TATAAGGCTGTAGGTATTATCTATTTACAGCACAAGTCAAACATATAAAAGGTAGCCTTCCATCAATGAAGGAATTTTAAAGCTGAACTCCAGGTAAACAAAACTTACTGGTGTTATTGTAGTAGAATGTCCAGAAGGAGAGGGGGCAGAGATCACAGGAGGTGGCTTTATAGCAATCAGAGGTTTCACCTACTATACCACAAGTCATTTCAAGGGACACTAAGCTCAGGAGTTAAATCTTAAAAATGCATTCAAGTACTTTAAAGTGACATTAAAGTAAAAATGTACCCCCCATGCTGCTTTAAAGGGGTTAGGGCTTTTCCCCATAGTTCTCCTAAGGGTAACAGGAGGACACAAACTAGCGTCCTCCCGTCATCCAAAGCTCAGTATACCGCGAGCTACAGCTCGCGGTATACTGAGACGCTGCAGCCGGGACGGATCCTGACTTTACTGTCTAGATCCACCCAGCTGCGGGATTGACAGCTGGCTCTGCCTATCTATAGGCAGAGCCAGCTGTACCCGCCCCCTCCCCCGTCCGTTCCACCAGTCAGCGCTGGAGGATCGGAGCGGGGAGGGGGGGAATCCCTGCAGGGAGCCATGATTGACGGTCATGACTCTCTCTCTGCAGGGATAGATAGAGAAGTGAGCGAGCGACGGTATGTGTTCACTCACTTCCCGATCTATTGAGCCGACATGTGACAGTTTCATTGTCACAGGTCGGCTAGAACTATGAGTCTTGAGTGATTTTCACTCACCTCATAGTTCTCCTTTAAGGACTTACCTTAAATGATGCTTCTAGATCCGATCATCATTATCTTTCCAGTAGTTTTCAGGAGTCCCTCCAGCGCTGGTGCCGGTCTCTGATCCAGCGTTGACTGCTGCGTCTCCTGTCCCACGGACACTGTCCAACGTGCACGCTCCCGGCTGCCTGCATTGACTTACCCTGTGCCTCTCCTCTTCTGCCAGTCAAAGATATCTACTGCGCATGCGCTTGCCCCATGATCCTTCACAGCTGCTTGAAAATGTTTCAGATCTTCAGACGGGAGCGAGCGACAGAGACACAGGTAAGTAATAACCACTCAGCTGTAGAGCCTCAAACCATCTCTGAATTCATGGCGACACTGTCCTTCCTTCTAGAGGGTGGCTACTTTTCTTCCCCATGGTCTGTGTGTGTTGTAAAGTAGTCATCGCTCCAAGCTCACTCCCATCATGGACTAAAATCTCAACGTAAACTAAACATGAGATTGTAGTACAAATAATGGGGCACTATTCCTCCCACTGGCACCAACGACGGGGCACTATTGCTTAAACTGACACGTACTATGGGGGAACTATTCCTTCCACTGACACATACTATGGGGCACTATTCCTCCAGCTGACACCAACAATGGGGCACCATTGCTTCCACTGACAAGCCTGTGCCATTTTGTACTCCCACTGGCCACAGTCTGCCCAGTTTAGTTAACTGGCCCTTTAGTTGGAAAGTTTGGGGACCCTTTGTATAGGAGAATTTTTTTCACTTAGTGGAGGTTTCCTCTGACTTCATCTTGGAGACAGAAAGTGATAGAAAATTTCCCCAAGGAGACAGACAGCAAAAAAGAAACAGTGGTTTAAACCCTTCTCTACTCTATCCAAAACGAAACAAATTGGGCTATACAAACACTTTAAATGTTTATTTAAAGGAGACCCAAGAGAAATACGTAGGCTATCATTGCTGACCTCCTACTTAAAATGATATTTCCCTGGCTGTCATGCTAATCCTACAACTTCAATACCTTTTCAGAGCTGCTGACCCATAACAAGTATACAGATCAGAAGTTCTGACATCTCAGACTTTCATTCCCTTCATCCTTGTTTGGGCCAAATATTGAAGCAAGAGAAAGCCAGGCAACTACGGTAGCATCCCTGGAAGTAGGTCACAAATAAGAGCCCCATATTTCTCTCAGTACAGGTTCAAATCAAAGTGTGCACTTGTGGTTTTGCATATACACAACAAACTAATATTTTAAATGCAAGCCAAGCCATACTTCCTTCTCTAACAAACCAATTCCAATCAACGTTACAGCAACTATCGGTGTTTAAAAGCCAGGATCTAGCTTTGTTTGCCCTATTTATTGTGTAAACATTGAAATCCAACCCGATCCTGTTTTAGTTTGCAAGCTTCAAGCGATGCCTGCAGCCACAATTCCCTGGGAGAGATTGCCAAGGCACAAGGGCTCTATTGCTGAAGGACTCCAGTGCCCCTTGTACAGTAATCGAGTCTCTACAGCACAAGCTGAAACAAAAACTAAAAGCACAGGCGGCAAGATGTCAACAGGACAAGCAGGGCTCACCAACCAGAGACACAAAATCACAAGTGTCACGTGACCACACAACCACAACAACAGGCACAGCAGAATGGGAGGCACGGTGATGAGCCTGTTCATGGACCCCTGTGAAACGCTGACACATGCATGTGTATCAGAAAATAATTCCATGCTCGAGGTACAGCCAGGTTTCTCAGTCACTGCACAGAGCACCCACCAAATGTACACCTAGTTCAATAACCAGAAAGGACACGTACCTGCTCATCCCACAGGGGGAACACTTAGATAATTACAATGTATACAAAGATGTCATGGACGTAAATAGGAGGCATAAGAAGCAAACAGACGCGTTACCCCTAGCTTACCGTGCGGCTATACAAAATAAGCTCCCCGAAGTCAGCTGTCTCTTCACCCCTCCCCGTTCTCGGTTGCTGTCAGTCCGGGCTCTTCCTTCCTCCTCACAACCACAACAACATGGCGGAGCGCGAGCACGTAGAGAAGGCCTGGCAGGAGGGGAACGTCATAGACACAAGCACTCTCACGCAGGCGGGCACACCTCTTGCCAAGAGCAGCGTGGACGCGCAGGCACGCCCCCCTCCGTTCACCTGCCCGCCACCTCCCTGCACTAGCTCTAGCATCAGCCAAAGGCAGAAGGAGTTGTAGTGGGTGTGTTGCGTGTGGGCGGGGCTAGGCATGTAGCGTCTTCTAGTGTTCTCGCTGACAGATCTCCTGTATTGGGAGGGGTGACAGTGAAGCAAGGGGGCGTGTACTGGTGGTACCAAAACAAACTTTTTAAAGAGACAGTTCACTCTACAACGCTGGTGCGCAACTTGCGGCTGTTTGACACTTCTGTGCGGCCGTCGGGGCCCATGTAGGCACTGATCTGTTCTGGTGTATTTTCAAGCCATTGAAAGAAATATATGTATGCATAAGGTGCATTCAAGTTATCTACATAGAGTACTTAAGCTGCGTTCACACTTGCCGTTTTCGTCTACTATATGCAGAGGACCATCTATCAGCCTAGATGCTGTGTTTATGCTTTTACATGCATTTTTAGTGCGTTTAGAAGTTCAAATTGGTCCTTAGATGACACAGGTAAACGTAGATGCAAAGTGGGAATATACCCATTAGATTTCATTGGATGCATATATATGCGTTTATAAAAGCTTTTTGAATGCATATAAAAGCATCTGATTGCACATAGTGTGAATAAAGACTGAGGGTTACCATACATGTTACAATCTCACTATGCAGTCTATGTACAATAATCTTTAGATTTACCCAAATGATGTAATATGAGGTCCTACTTAATCTGCCAGTCAATCTGGATCTAATCAGGCAAGCCCTTGCACTGCATATATTTGTTGGTAGATCTAAAGGAGTTTGTACAATCAGATTGTAATGTGTGTGGTGAGTTTTAGAACAATCGTTTTGTTGTATTATATTCTCTAAACTTTCAACATTAAGTGACTCTGGTTTTACATTTGTAATATTAACGGTTGAGGAGCAGTCATCCATTGAGTAAGACCAAAAGGCCGCTATAATGTAGAATTTGAAACAGGATCACTGGGCCATCCTAAAGAATTTGAAACAGGATCACTGGGCCATCCTAAAGAATTTGAAACAGGATCACTGGGCCATCCTAAAGATGGGGAAATGGCCAATAATTATTAATTGTGCATGGCGGCTGTATATGGAGATGATGAACCTTCAGAATACCAGGTGAATACTGGTTGAAACACTTCAAGTGGGGCAGAACATCAATGGTAGTTGAGACCCTCCACATCTGCCCTGCTGCGATCCTCAACATCTGCCCCTGCTACGATCCTTCACATCTGCCGTGCTGTGAACCTCCACATCTGCCCATGCTGCATTCCACCACATCTGCCCTGCTGCGATCCTTCACATCTGCCCTGCTGCGATCCTCCACATATGCCCCTGCTGCTATCCTCCACATCTGCCCCTGCTGCAATCCTTCACATCTGCCCCTGCTAAGACCCTCCACCCAAGACATCATGCCGGCACCCTAGAGCAGACCAGTATGTACCAAATCCATATACTATTCTGCATTGCTGTATAATGTATTGCTGGGATTTGTAGTCCTTTATAGCCGGTGGTATGCTCAGCCATTAGGGGTAGACAACTTTGGTGCTCCAGCTGAGGTGAAACTACAAATATGACATTTCGGAGTCATGTCTGTGGCTGTCAGAGTCTTGCAATACCTCATGGGACTTGTAGTTCCACAACCGCTGGAGCACTATGCATATGTATTATTCTGCACAACTCTACATCCCTCAAAAACCTCCATAAAAACCATTGGAAATAAAAATAGGAATTACATTTGACACCAATGCTTGTCAGTGACTTGTGTGAGTAGTGAAGTGGAATGGCAGGCGGATATTTCACAGAGCAGTGCTTTCAGAATGGTAACTAGACTCAGCTCGCTCATTTGAATGGCATTCCACAGTAGGAACGTCACTATTTATCCCTAGTATTGTTCAGATGGCAGCCATTCTCCCAGAGACCTTTTGGCTACAGTTAAATGGCGTCTGTGAGGACAGAATTAAATGTATTCGGTATCCCCTAGTGAGGAAGAGCTGACGTCTGGTTTGTATAGGGTGGTATCCGGAGTGGTGACAGTGCGCAGTCCGGGCTCCCCGTCACGTGACGCCGGTCCTTCTCTGCGGGCTCTATTAATCTATACTCTGATCCCCTCTGTCTCCAGCATGCCGAGCCTGCCATTAGACGAGCTGCAGATCACTCAGAGGGATCCGGGGACAGGGAGGCAGCGCTCCCTAGGAGCTCTGGTGAGACATATGACACATGTTCTGTTCTACTTATTACAAGGTGATGACAGCTAACCTGCTGACGAGGAAGCCATACCTGGCTGAAACTATGACCAATGTAGTCAGCTTGTTTCCTAGGCCATTAATATGAGGACGTAGGGGAACCATCCATGCAAATCATGTCCTGGTAGGACTTATGACCAGTGCTGTAATGCTGCAAGACTAGAGGGCTAACGACTTAGTCACTGTGCTGCCATTTACTAAAGATGAGCTCCTTGTGACCAGGTCAGCAATGTGTGTCATCTCATCAGTTATCACTGCTCATTAATTGTGTCTGATTCACTCATCCTTGTTGATTTATACTCAGGAATATTCCTTACTTTCTGTCCAGTCAGAATTGATTGGTCTGTGGTAGGCGGAGGCAACCAGGCCCTCTAGCTGTTGTGGGACTACAAGTCCCATGAGGCATTGCAAGACTCTGACATCCACAAGCATGAGTCCCTGAGGCAGGTGCATAATGGGATTTGAAGTGCCAAGCGTGCCTACCCCTGTCTATGGCAATCTGACAGTTTCTAAAGTTTCCTCATTTCAAGTGAACATGTGATCCAAATTGCAGTGGAAACTGTCAAGACAGCCATGCTGGTCATATACGAATGATTTATTTATCTATTTCAGTTATTTGGTTGCTTGGAAGCAAAACGTGTGACTGGCAGATTTTTTTGGGTGACTAAAGCCTATAGGTAAAGTAGAACTGAAGCCATTCTTTTTGTTTTGGATATGGTGTGTGTGTATGTATGTGGGGGTCAGGATGGGAGAAGGGGTAGGTATTACCCCTGTCGGCTTTTTTTTTTCTACCATCTGTGTCCCATTGGGGAGCTTATTCCCATCACTTTTTATCCAAAAGCAACCACAGGAACTGAGATGGAATCCCCCAAAGAGAGGAAAAATCCCTGGTGGTCAGCAGGGTCACCAGAACTAGTGTCCCTATTAGAAGATTTCCCAGCAATTCCTGTTGTGGTGATAACACAAACATTTTAGATTTTCTTTCACCTCTCAATAATCGGTCAACAGGACAAACAGGGAGGGTAAATCTCCCTTACCAGAACACAGGGAGCAATAAAAACCGGCTTCTAATCCTTCTCTGCTCTCTCCAAAAACTAAAACAAAGTTTTGACTGTTGCACGTTAAGCTGGTTATACACTAGTCACCTACGGGGTGAACATGAGAAAACCATTGGAGTTCCCCCAGACCTGTCAGAAGCCGGCTGAAGTGCCAGGTACACAAACGATCAAGCACATTCCTGTGCTTGATGATCTGCTTTGGAATGGCTTAAATAAAGAACCTATCACCTCCAAATGCCCACAATGGGTTTGTTAACCCCTTGTGACAGCAAAAGCCAAGTGAGCAAAAAATTTAAAACAAAGATAAAAGTACAAAATAATAAAATTAAAAAAAAGGTGATAAAAAAGTAAACAAGAGTAAATGTTAAAAAAAAAAGTAAAACCAACCCTGCCCCCCCTGCCATCTGATTCTTAAGAACACGTGCGCATTAGGCATGCACGTGTATGTAAACGGGGGATAAATAAACAGTGTGATGCGACCAGGTTTCAGCACATTAGCACTGTTTTGGGAAAACACACCAGCAGCTATGCGTTGTGGTGCAGCTGCTGGTGTGAATGTAGCCTAAATGGCAGTACAGACGCGGACTGAATGACCCTTCTGTCCGGACCAGGATCGGGAGCTTGGCTCCATGACTATTATATTCACTAAACCTCCTTGAATTTTAATCCACTACCCCTGCTTTACTTTATCCAAAACTCAAACAAACATTTTGGCTTCAGTTCTAGTTTAAGTAAAAGCTGCACATTTTCAAATATAGAAACTTCCTTTAGAAATGGCATTAAAAGAGAACTATGGGGTAAGTGTTTTTCCTCATAGTTCTCTTAAGGGTCACAGGAGGACAAATACTAGCGTCCTCCCGTGACCCAAAGCTCAGTATATCGTGAGCCACAGCTGAGTATACAATGCTGTTGAGATCCACCCAGTTGCGTGATTGACAGCTGGCTCTGCCTATCTAGAGGCAGAGCCAGCTGTACACGCCCCCTCCCTTTTCCGTTCCTCCCGTCAGCGTTGGAGGATCGGAAAGGGGGAATCCCTGCCGGGAGCCGTGACTGACGGTCCCTGCTCTCTGCAGGGAGGAGATCGAGAAGTGAGCGAGCAATGGTATGTGTTTTCTCACTTCCTGATCTATAGAGCCGACGTGTGACAGTTTCATTGTCGTACGTCGGCTCGAACTATGAGGATGAGTGATTTACACTCACCTCATAGTTCTCCTTTTAACATGTTAAAGCTGAAGAATTGGGTTTACATACCTTCAGGAGTGTTTGCAATTATTCATATCTGTGTTGAATGGCAGTTTTGTTTGTTTATATCTGCCTACATTTCTGCAGATCATTTCTAAAGCACAATTGCCAACCTTTCTGTGTCCTTGTAACTCTGCAGAACCCACAGAGAGCCGTGTCCAGGAACTTTATAACCTATTCGCCTCCACCTGACTCCTGTGCTCCTGCTCTTCTCGAGGAGTTTTTGGAAAGGGCTGATTTTATCATAAAGGATCTCCAATGGTTGGTATCATTGCCACATGACCGTTTCTGGTGCCAGGTAAGGAGATGCCAACTGATTTTCCTAAAGATGAGTTATTTTATGTGTTTTATTGTCCTGTCTTGGCTGTTGGCTGTACTTGATATTTAGTTACTGGTTTGATGATCGTTGGGCTACATTCACACAGGGCTATTATGTGCGGCTTGGGATTCCTGCCGCAAGAACCTACGTAATCACAGGTGTGTCCGCACAGATGTGCCCGTTCAAGTGAATAACAGGGTGACAGCGGCCACATCTGTTTGCATGTAATTGTAGATGGAATGATTATCTGTGTTTTGCGATTGAAAATTGTCCTTGGATGCAATCGTCTGTCCTGAACTGCAGGTAATTGTTCCATCTATGATTACTTGCAGACATCTGCTGACAGATGTGGCCGCTGTCACCCTGTTATTCACTCGAATGGGCATCTGCAACACACACCTGGGAATCCGTAGGTTCTTGCTGCAGGAATCCCCAGCCGCAGCCTAAAGCCCTGTGTGATTGAGGCCTTAGCCTATTATTATTATTATACAGGATTAATATAGCACCAACAGTTTGTGCAGCGCTTTACAATATAAGGAAGACATTACAATTCAAGACAAGATGGTAAGAAGGGCCCTGCCCATGAGGGCTTACAATCTAAAAGGGAAGGAGAAGTGATACATGAGGAGGTAGCTGTGAGGGAATGAATTGTTTTAGAACGTGATGGTTCAGTGGTTAGGTTGAGGTGGAATAGGCTTCCCTGAAGAGATGAGTTTTTAGGGATCGCCTAAAGGCAGTGAAGGTGGGAGATAGATGGACAGGTTGGGGTAAAGAGTTCCAGAGGATGGGGGAGACTCTAGAGAAGTCCTGGAGGCGAGCATGGGAGGAGTTGACAAGGGAGCTAAAAAGCAGGAGGTCTCGGGATGAGTGGACGGTTAGTGTGATATTTTGAGACAGGGTTTGAGATATAGCCGGGGGTGGAGTTGTGGATGGCTTTATAAGTGGTTGTTAATATTTTGAATTTGATCCTTTATGGCGAGTGGAAGCCAGTGGAGGGATTGCAGACACTGAGCGGTTGGTTAGGTGAATGAGTCTAGCAGCTGCATTCATGATGGACTGAAGGGGGGATAGCCTGTGTAGAGGTAGGCCAATGAGGAGGGAGTTGCAATAGTCAAGATGAGAGATAAGTGAGTGGAGAAGTAATTTAGCGGTTTTATTGGTGAGGAAGGGGCGTATTCTGGAGATGTTAGGAAGGTGAAGGCGGCAGGATTTGGATAGTGATTGGATGTGGGAAAGAAAGGTGAGGCCCGAGTCAAGGATGACACCTAGCACCTTGGCATGAGGGGAGGGCTGGATAGTTGTGTTATTAATCTCAACCGAAATATCATGAGCTCCGTTTTTGAAAGGTTGAGTTTTAAGAAGTGTTGCGACATTCAGACTGATATGTCAGTTAGTAGATTAGTGACTCGCAAGGACACAGAGGGGGTGAGTTGTGGAGTGGAAAGATATATTTGAGTGTCATCGGCATAGAGATGGTATTGGAAGTCATGTGAGGTTATTAACTGACCAAGGGAGGAGGTGTAGATGGAGAAGAGGAGGGGTCCAAGAAGGACAGAGCCTTGGGGGACCCCTACAGAAAGAGGAGGTGAGGAGTTAGATTTGTAGGTGACACTAAAGGAGCGCTTAGATAGGTAGGAGGAGAACCATGAGAGAGCAGAATCTTGTAGGCCAAGAGAGTGCAGTTTTTTTGAGGAGGAGCAGGTGGTCAACAGTGTCAAAGCAGCAGAAAGGTCTAATAGCAAGTGTAAGAAGTAGTGGCCATTGTTTTTAGCAGTTAGTAGGTCATTGGTGAGTTTTAGGAGGGCGTTTCAGTGGAGTGTATGGGGCGAAAGCCAGACTGAAAGGGGTCCAAAAGGTTGTTATTAGCGAGGTGGCGACTCAGGCGGTTGTAGATAAGGCGTTCTAGTAGTTTAGAGGTGAATAGGAGTAAGTAGATAGGTCTGAAATTATTGAGGTTGGTAGGGTCCAGCGAGGGTTTTTTTGGGTATTGGTGTGACCAGGGCATGCTTTAGAGGGGAGGGAAAGATGCCTCTAGAGAGTGAAAGATTGAAAATGTGAGTAAGAGAGTGTATGATAGAGCAAGAGGGTGTCCGAAGTAGTTTTGAGGGAACAGGGGCCAGGGGGCAAGTGGTGAGGTGGGTGTCAGAAAGAAGCTTTGTAACCTCCTCTGTGGTGACCGGGTCAAAAGAGGAGAGTAACAAGTGTGATGGAGGGTCTGGCACATGAATAGGGGAAGGTGACTGCACAGTGGCGATCTGATCCCGAATTATATCTATTTTGTTTTTTAAATGAATGGCAATGTCCTGGGCAGTGAGTGAGTTAGTGGTGGTGGGGGACATAGTAGAGACTTAAAGGTAGAAAAGAGTTGACAAGGTTTGGATGAGTGTGTGTTAATGAGAGTGACAAAATAAGTTTGTTTGGCAGCATGGAGGAAGGAGTTATATTTTAGGAGGGCAGCTTTGTACAGGGTGAAATCTTGCAGAGACCTAGTTTTCCGCCACAGTCGCTCAAGAGTGCAGCAATGTCTTTTTAGATGTCTGGCTACTTCAGTTTGCCACGGTTGTAGCCTAAGGTTCTCCTCGGAAGTATGTGGGGTTTTTTTTCTGGCATATTTTCTACAGTGATTAATTTTACCTCTTAATCTTGTTGTCACTATTCTTTCTGTCTTGTGTGTTACAGGTGATATTCGATGTATCTTTGCAGAAGTGCTTGGACTCTTTTTTGAGCAGTGCTCCTCGTAAATACGATCAATGTACGCCTTTCCCGCCTGCTGTGCAGCAGGTGCAGGACAAACTCCATCGCCATGTGTTTCTAACCTTTCTGCGAATGTCAACACACAAAGAATCAAAGGTAGATCTCTGTCATTTTTAAAGGAATTGCGTATTGACAGAAATATAGAAGCTGCCATTGATGGCTTGCAAATGCTAGTTGCTTGGCCCTCTCTGGCACCAGTACTTTCTGAGTCACTGATCTGTAACAAGTATGCAGCTAGTGTTGTTGGAGAACACAACTTGCTATTCCTAAACAAGGAGGTGCTAAAAGTTCTAGGCCTGACCAAGAAGAGAATGAACTAAAGCTATGAAATGTACATTCCACATATTCACCCCAAAGTTCAACACCCTTGCCACAGTGTTTACATTTCTTTGGCCCTTCCAAAAAAAAAGTGTGGTCACTGAAATACCGCTCCACTTCGGCTATCACCTTCGAATCATTTGAGAATTTCCTGATCCGAACAAAATATGAAAAGTAGAGCTACAGTCCTGCAAATTTACACTGGCCTTATTACAGAACACTGTTTCCAGCTACAAAAGGCTAATTACGCTCAGATTTTGGGAAATAGGTTGGGCTGAGAACTTTTTGGCACTTTTTCTGGTATGTGGCTCAGAGAGTATTGAAGCCTTTGGATCAACATAATGGCCACGTAAACATCATTTTTCATAGGAGTGTTCAACAGTGAAAGACTAGATATTTCCTCATTTAGGTTTCTCTTATTTATTAAAAATTCACTCCCCTTGTGGTCGCTCTGTGAAGGGTTGCAATGATGTACTTCTGTGAGTTCTACCATAAAGACCTCAAGTGACACTAAACTCGGGAGTTAAATCCTAAAAATACATTCAAGTACCTTACCTATTAACAAAAATGTATTTTATTTGTGTATCACTCGGCTGTAGATCCTCAAATCATCTCTAAGTTGGTGCTGACACTGTCTTTCCTTCTGGAGGGTGGCTACTTTTGTTCCCCATGGTCCCTGTGTGTGGATGAGAATTTTGAGGTTTAAGAATTGTTGGTTGGGCTTGCACATCATTTGTGTACCTTTGGGAAGAGGATGTAATTTATCCGCTGTAGACAGATTTGTACTTTATGGACTAACTTGTCTATAAATACTTAGTTGCCCACTGAAACCATTTTAAATAGAATATGCAGATTCTGATTTGCAGCCAGTGGTCATTAAAGTGCAAGTTGTTATAGACAGCAAGGTCACTAACATAAGTAGTATAATTGCCCCTGTATTGGATGATATTTCTGTGCCCACATGTGGGACGGACCCAACGATAGAGGCTTGTATTATACAGGATCTTTTCCAGGATAAAGTGATGCAGGAGATTCCTGTAACTATGCTTCATTTTGAATAGGTCAGACCTGTCACCATCTTTTCTTTATGAACTGTTGACATTGTTTGCTATTTCACATAGTGCAGTTTTAGTGCAGTAGTGTTCCTCCCACTACTGTAAATCACCTACTCAGAGCTGACTTTTAATCTTTATGACTCTATATTAGGGGTTAGCAATTCATTTTCTCAGGGGGCCACATGAGAAACTGGGACTGCTGTGGAGGGCTGAACTGGTTAATGCACAGTACTGCACAATGCACTGACCGTGTGTTGCAGGGCAGCAGGTGCGTTGCGTTGTCATTTATTTGAATGGCACCTCCTGGCCGCAATGTGATTGACCACAACGTGAACACGTGGTACCGCAATACTGTGATTTGTGATGCGGTTGTCTCACTGTAATGCACATTAGGTGCATTGTGCGCTACTGTGCGGTAATCGCACGCCATAGGTGTGAATGGGCCCTTGATGAAGCCTTATTGTCCCCACATAGTATTGTATAATAAGTACAGTATGTGGCACATACTGGGGTTTTCTTTTTTTGTTTTGTTTTTATTCATAAGCCGCAGGCAGGATCTGGTAGGTAAAGCCGCAGGAGAAGACAGAGGAGGAGGTCGCTAGCAACCAACGACTGAAGAGGAATGCAGTGCAGACCTGGACTGATCCCTGACCTACGCTGTGGAGGCCAGCGCATCCACTGTCAGCCAGCCACAAATGCAGGTCGGAGATCGGTCTGTGTCTGGACTGTGGGCTGTAAAATACCCAGGTCTGGTTTTATGCGGCTCATATTTTATAATAAAAAAATAAATAAGTACATAGAACGTAATGATTTGTAGTTTTAGAAGTTGTTTATCCTGACAGGAGTTTCCCTTTAAAAGGAGTCTTTGCCTTTTATCTCCTGCAGGATCATCATATTACTCCCTCTGTGTTCGGTGAGATTATTTACAACAACTATCTCTTCGACATTCCCAAACTTTTGGATATATGTATTCTTTTTGGTAAAGGAAACTCTGCTCTTCTTCAGAAGATGATTGGTAAGTAGGTTTACAGCCAACACAGTGGCTCTCTTTCCTGAAAGGGCTGATTTACAAAACTGGAACAATATGCAGCTTTTGGCATAACAACCAGCAGGTTTTATCTGGTTACTGTGGGCATTTGCTGCATTTTATGTCTGTTTTCTTCTTTGGGGTTACGATAACAGTGCCTTCAGACTGTGAGTTCTAAACGTTCGGTAGACCTAGAATGCAATATAAAACGGAAAAATGTCAGGAGGACAGATGCAATCCTAAGCATGGAAAAGACCTGCACATTTTATTTATTTATTTTTTAAATTCTGTATTATTACCAATGAGACCTACAATCAGATTACGTTTGCATCAAGGGCCAGTGTTTGTAAAAGAAAGATGGGTATGTGAAACATGGGAATATATACATTTGTCAGATATAATCCATGTAGCCCAGTTCTATTAGGGTTTTGATGTATATAGCCTTATTGATGACCATGGTTTCAAATGCTGGAACTACAAGTTGATGAGGATGGACAGGAATCCATGAACATTAGTGTGTTTTTCTTTTTTTCCCCAAAATGTAATTTTTTTTCCCAAAGGAAATAACCATCAAAACAAGGGTTATGAAATGGGCTTTGTGGGGCAATAGAGAACTATGTACTAGTGGGATATGTTACTTTGGAGGGTTTGGGACAGGGGCTTTGTGGGGATATAAGTGAGAGCAGAAGGGAACTAGATGCTAGTGGGATATGCTACTTTGGTATTATTGGGGCAGCCTGAAAAGGGAGACTGGGGTGTAGAGGAAACAGAGCTGGGCAGAAATGAGGGATAAGAAAGGTTCTTCATATATTTTCCTATTTTCATCCATATTTTACTACTTTGCAATTCATTACCCTCCACTCTGCCTATTTATGTTAATTCTCTTTCTTCGTGTGCATTTACAGGTAACATTTTTCAGCAGCAGCCAAGCTATTACCAGGATCTTGATGACAGCATACCAACATTACTACAGGTAGATAAATCTTTGTGGCTCATTGTCTATAAATATTTGGGTCTATACATACACACTTCAAATATAAATAGACCCCACGCCAAATGCGTGATAGCAGCAACACTGAAATCATATGATAATATTAACAATTATTAAAAACATTATTACAATTATTTTAATAGCATACACACTTCAGATCTGCAGTTAAAGTTACAGTGGGGATTAGTATATACCTGTTTGCATCCTGTTGGGGAGGTTTCCCTTCACTTCCTGTCTCCGAGATACAACAGAAAGAGGAACTCTCTCAGAACTGAGGTAAGTTCCCTCTTAGACATTTGTCATTCGATCAGGTGTCCTTATTGGGAGAATTTCTACTCTCCCCATTTTCCAGTGACAAATGTTAAATTCTGATATTCCCATCACATTCTGTTCTAGAGACGGTGGCTCATTGAGGCTAATAGGGTGAATCAACCCAGTGGGGAAATAAACAGTAAAAATCTGGCAGAAGTTCTAGCCTTTCCACACTATCCAAAACGAAAACTATTGTGACACTGGTTTGACAATAACCACAGTGAATGTAATTCACTGTTAATTGACTTCCTGTATGCTTGTTTTGTGGACCTTAAAATAATTTTATAGTGTACTTATGTTTAGGAGTAATAAAAATGTTTAGAAATATATTTTCTTTTGTTCTGGTAAATATGAAACTTTCAGCCTTATAAAGATCCTCTTGTGTCCAACTAAGGTGCTAAGAGCGAGGAGCAGTGAAGCCTTATCGTTCAGTACTACTAAGCAGAGCCTATGTGTGTAATGAATAAATATGGCTGTCCTGATAAGGTTTTAAAACTAATACCTAAGAATTTTCTAATATTATTTTGAGTTAATCATTGTGCATTGGGTTTACTGTCCCTTCAACGTATTCAGTTTCTTCTAGAAGATGATCTTAATGACCTCTACCCTATATGTCTCTTTTACACAATCCTCAAAAGGTCTTCAGCTCCATTATGAAGGTTTGTGGGCTTCAGCAGGATGATTGTAAAGAACCCCTGAAGCTTGGAGATGAGAAACGTACATCGCCTCTAGATATGGCAGAGCAGGTCAGTCTATTATGTTTGTTTTGCTGAAGGAAGAACATTTTCCCTTATTCTCATAACTCTGTAATTTCTTTGATTTCATTCCAGGAACTGCAGGATACAGTCTTTTATCTCTGTGACACATCCAGTACAATTTGGTCCTTTCTAGAAATCTTTCCATCTGCCTCTCAGACTTTACAAAAACACAATTTCTTGAGTAGGTATGTAAGTAGGGCAAATGGGTTTGTTTTCACTGGTACTGTTTTTTTTAAGCTTGTGATGCAAAAAAGTTATCCTTACATTTATTAGACACTGAATATGTGTTCATACTTCTGTAATTGGGAAAAGACATGTGTAGCAATGCATATTTCTTGAGTGAGGGTAATAGCTATCACAACTTGGCCACCTGAAGCTATGGTATATCTTTATTTCCTGGGGCTCAACTATCCAGCACATATAGTACTACAAGTACCACAACTACTATACTTAAACACACACACACACACACGCGCGTATGTACGTAATGTATTATTCTGATATTGTTACTGGTTTTGTCCTGGTACAGCCAACTTGGTTGTACACCTAGCAGACCGGATCTGACCTTACCCATTTTGATCCAGTTTTTTTGCCTTCTGTTTAGTATTGACCAGTGCTTTGCAGTTGTGATAGTACTTCTATGTGATTGACAATAATGATGGGATCTGCTCACTTTTCCCACTTGAGCTTGCCATGCGCCAGTAGAGTTTTATTCGAAAGTTTTTTGTTACAGAGCTTTGGTTTGATTTTCTTATGGTTAGCGGGGTCTAAACGACCGTAGTGACAAGGAAAATCGAAGGAGCAGGATGGAAATGTTTATTTTCTTATCTGAACAAAGGAAACTCTAACTGTGAATGTGATTTTGGTTCTGGGAAATTGGTACACATTGTAATGATCTTGCGCTAGGCACAAAAGAAACTCCCAGGGTCAACTAAGATACATTCCAGTATTAAAAACAACCCATAGACCTCAGGAATCTAGGAGATACATGTATGGCCAAGGGTACATCTATCCACCTTACCACCGATCAAAGTCAGTCAGACTAGACATCGTTTTTTAACTCTTTGACAGGAAACTGTCAGCTATGTGTTCAGTAATGTTTTTGCATGTCTCTGATCAGTAATAAATAGATACATTTCTTTAAATTCTGACATTGTAGTTTGTCCCAGCCGATGATTAACCCTTGAGCTGCCTTCGTCTGTAAGACAGTTCGCACACTTTTTTCTTTTTTGCACAAAAGAAACTCGTTTAATACATCTTAGATTCCCTGAAAGCATCAGCTCTGGACGAATTGTTTTAAGAGCTATGGAATGAAATGATTTGACTTCATAAGAAGAACTAATGCGCTGACTAACGATTTTGAACAAACATTTCAATTAAATTCGAACAGTGTATGGCCAACTTTAGCTCAGTGATCTAGATATATGTTGTCCATGAGCTTCTCATAAAGGCATCCTATTAGGAATGAAAAATGCTTATCTTTCAAAGTTTTTGCATGTTTTATAAACCCTGCGATAATATATCCAAGGCAGTCATGCAAGACCAGTCAAGTACAGTGGTACCTTGGTTAACGAACGGTTCTGTTCGCGAACAAGAAGTTTCGCAAAATTTTGCTCCCGTTCGCGAAATCCACATCGTGTAACGAACACAACCGCAGCCATCTTCCCTGCTCTGGCACATGGTCGTGGCTTCCTCTAGTCGAGATCACAGTCTGATTACAGTTTGATTTGGTTCGCGACCAGAATCGTGGAACGAATTAAGTTCGTGAACCGAGGTACCACTATGTGTTTTTAGATGACTCATTACAAATTCTGTCTTTACCTCTGATTTGGTTGACCTTCCATATGGTAGACCATATACAAGACACAGGCCACTTGGTTCTTGCACTTTCCGTGATAAAACTGGAGCTGCAAGACAAATTGCTCCATGCAAGCCCATAGCAATGCCTTTTATCTTTCATTAAGGATTATATTTGCTTTCATAGGAGTCACAGTAGCATAGATATAGTATTTCATACAGAGGATTGAGAGGATACAGTATTTTATATTGAGGATATTCGGTCATTAGCTTTATAGGACCGCAACACTACAAGGAAGATTCTTTTATGGCTGTCCATATACAGCAGATCTGTCACCAATAATGATTTTCCTTTTTTAAAGAACACAACTTTATTTAACAGAAAAGAGAGTCTATAAATGAATCTTCATCTCAAACACATCTTTAAATACAGCCTAAATACATGTTCCCAATAGAATACATAAGTGCTTTTCAGACACTTGCATTTATGATGAGACACATTTCATTTGACTAGATTGGCAAAATGTAGTTGAACATACCAGAAATACAGCATTCAGATTTTTTTATTTTTTTTAAAAACATCACGGACTACCCTGAAATGATGTATAACATGCAGGAAAGTGCACAACAATATATCGCAGGGCTGGGCAAACTTCAGCCCTCCAGCTGTGGTGCATTGCAAGACTCTGACAGCCACAGGTATGACTTCCAGAGGCACATGCATAACGGGATTTATAGTTTCACCAGGCCTGGAGTTTGCCCACTCCTGATATATTGAGTATGAATGTGTGTTTCTTGTGTTCACCCAAAATACATGCAGATTGGTTTTTAAAAATCTCTACCATAAAAGTTTTAAACCTTGTAGTGCCCAATTATTGAGTATTTGGTTATGGATGGCAGCCAGGCACCTGCATTCACAATAGAGACTCTAGTAAGTGCACACATTTTCATACTTTCAACTGAGAAAAACTGCTGCTTACACTATGGGGTCTGTTTATTAATCTTTCGCTCAGCCAATACGCTGGGCGAATACCCAAACGTGGCATTTCCGCCACCGTTGTTTAGCTGGGTGGAAGATTTATAAATAGACCCCTATGTATGTAAGTACAGAGCATAAGATCATGAATTCTTTTTTTCACCCCTGGTGTGAACCTGCCCTAACAGGTATTTACTGGGTAATAGGTGTATTTATCATGTAGAAGAACCTTATTTGCTGAAACAGTTGATTGGATGCATTCTTTTCTTTTCAGTCTGAGTTCCTTTTATGAATTATGTTGCCCGGAGCTGGAATCTGCAATTATAAAGAGGAAGTTTGCGGATAAAAGGTGAAAAAAATCTGCATATTCAGTCTCAAAGCTATCGCTATTATTTCTGTACATGTTGTTTCTCCAAGTGAAACTAAGAAACATTTGTGCTCCAAATCCATATAATCAACACCTGCCATGTGATCATTAATTTCTAAAGCAGAAATAAAATAAACAGCTGACAGAAAATGCTTAACATACAAACCCACTAATGATTACAATGTTATGTGCTGATAATAGTACAGATTCTTTCTTTGCATCAGCATATTGCAAGAAAAGCAAGGATTACCATTTGCAATGTTAGACTATTGTTCCACTGTACTAAACAGTGCAGAAATATATCAGAATGAATGCTCGTAAGAGCCTAATATTGTTAGAATAAGGCCTCATTCAAACTGCCGTACAATATGCTGCATATAGATGCGTGCAGCGTATATTCGCATATGCAAATAAATGGCTCCATACACATAGCTGCTTATGGAGCCATATATTTGTGCTGCATAAAGATGCGCAAAAAAAATGGAACCGAGATGTGTCCGGGCTCGGAATTTCTGCGGAGTTTTTTTCCACGCGCATATACGCGTGTGCACACGTATGTGCGTATAGTACATTAAAATTTCTTTTAAAAATGTTGCAGTCTGGGGTTGCATACAGTGCACGCATATATACGCAATATACAATTTTGCTCGTGTTTTGTGTGTGCATGAGGCCTTAGTCAGATGCACAATGAAAAGGTTGGTTGTGCAAATTTAAAATGGTATCTTTTTTTTTTTTGCAACAGATTATAACAGCGTTTCTCAACCCTTTTACCCCTGAGGAACCCTTGAAATAATTTTCAGGCCTTGGACAATGCCTGATTAAAGCAGTTCATTGGTGGTCAGTGGGAAGAATGCCCCCCTTTCAATGATGGTCAAAATGCCACCCTTACAGATAGCTAAAAAATAAATAAATTGGTGTCATGCCACTATCTCTGACAAATGGCATTGGCCCCAGAACTCAGAACTGCTGGCACCATTAGCTTGGTAGTCAGCCACAGCTTAAGGAACCACTAGCAACCTATGGAGGAACGCTAGGATTCCATGGAACCCTTGATGAGACTGGCTGGATTATATCAGGATTAGAATTGTAAATTGTAGCAATATAGAGTAATAACTACTACTATAAATAAATCCCATATTCTAATTGCTGGGTATAAAAATAAATTGCAGTCCATGGCTGGAATGCAGTTCAGTAACTTTTCTGACAATGACCTGCTTTCTCAGTTGGTAGTAGAACATGACATAAACTGCCCAGGATGTAGAAGAACATATACTTGCCACAAAACGCTAAATCTTGGGTAAGTCCTCTAGACCCGTGGTTCTCAACTGGTTTTGGGTCACGACCCAGTGGGTCGCTGCATGCCTTCCACTGCACTAAGTGAGCGCAGCACTGTCAGTTCTGGGGCCGTGCAGCCATTCAAAAAATGCTGCCTGGCACCAAGTGTCAGCTTGAGGTGGAGTGGCTAGAGCTATGGCCGTGAGGGAGCTCCATCAATATGTGCATTGCTTACAGCTCCCTCGTGTGACTGGAGTGACGTCACATTCTGGCTCCCTACACCTCTACAGGGAGTGCAAAGGAGCTGTGCAAACAATGCACGTATGGATGGAGCTCTGTCACAGCACAGCAGCCCACATTAAATTGTGTATGTGGTTGTGTGTCTGTCAGTGTTTTAATCTCAAACTACCACACAATCGAACCTACTGTTCGTTCTGGTGCGGGAGGTGCATTGTGTTGCCATTAATTTGAATGGTACCCCAAACACACCTCCCACCCAAGTTTGATCGCTTGCACTGGAATATGCGGTACCGCAATGCTGTATTTTCCAGTGTGGTGCGACTTGGGTCGCGACATAATGACCAAAGACAAATGTGGGTCCTGAGGTTATACTGGTTGAGAACCACTGCTCTGGACTAACCATTCTCTAATTAAAACCAGCATAATAATTTGCAGCGATTGTCCCTAAGACACTGAGGGGTCCTTTTTGTATGTCCAGCACATCCAGAGACTCAATTTTGTGCTTCCAGTGTTCATTATATGTTATCTACAGTTAGTGGACCCAAGTTGGGGCACAGAGAATAACAACTTTTACTTAAATATAAGGGTGGAGAAGGACAAGGTGTTAAGCAGCATCTGGTTTATCTGGCCAGAGAATAAAACAGTAGGGTATTAACCTTATCTGATAACATTCCATCCTACTTAGTGTATTTCTACTTTTGCAGCCAAATTAGGATAACACCTATTTTAAATTTTGTTACATGTTCCCATTCACATAGCATAACTTAAAACATGTATATAAAAATCAGTACTTGCTCTTTTTCTGGGAACTCCAAAACTGAAGTTTTTCTTTCTTCCCCCCCCCCCAATTTAATATCTTTAATTTTCTTTTCTCGTCATTACAAGGGGTGGAGTTGATGTTTATCAAAATGAACCCTGTCTACTGTGATGTTAGACCTCTTTATCATTTGTAAACTAGATTTGAATCCTGTTTGTCCGAACAAAGGGTTAAAGATCTAGAAGAGGGGCGTGGCCAGCAGCCGCATGTAGTCGGACGTGTCCCGGAGAGCTCTCCCACCATCCATCCTGGAAATAACCTGCAGGGCTTACCCAGATACCCGTGTACCTCTCCGGCTTACCTAAGTGTCGTGGACCCCGGCGACCTGCTCCGGTGAGCTGTGGAACCGCGTGTTGACACGAGGGGATGTCTAAGAAGAAAGACAGTAGAGGCCTCACGATCCAAGATGGCGGTGGCGGCTCGCATCCTGCACTTCCCACCCCCAGTAAGCAAACGGGGGACAGGAACAGGGATGCTGCGGTGAGGCTGGAGCGCTTCGCCCGCCATCCGGACACACCGGCCAAGGCACGCCGACTCTCCTATTCCGCAGACCGTGCCATAAGAGGGATATGGGGCCTGACTCCTCACACATCTCTGACTCAGAGGACCCGGACGATGCCGCAGTGACTGTGAGTACAGTGTCTAAGAATCTGAAGGGCCCTAAAGCATCTAAAACGAAATCTAAGCCGACTGAGCCTACCATCTCAGATGTTTTCTCGGCTGTACAGCTATGCAACGCTGCGCTGACATCTCTCACAGATCAGGTGCAGGGGATGAGGGCCGACATATCCTTCATGCGCCATGATCTGCAGAAAGTGCGGGACCGCACTTCTGCCCTGGAGGGTAGGGTGAGTGGGCTGGAAGATACTACGACCCCATTGCTCTCAGATGTGAAAACGGCATTACACGATATTTCTGCACACACCCTGAAAATGGACGATGTCCGGGCTGTCGGCATTCCGGAACGCACAGAAGGGGCTAATGCCACTGACCTACATGGAATCCTGGCTCTGTGAAGTTTGTGAAGTTTTTGGGAAGACCTACTTGTCCCCTTTGTTTGCTGTGGAAAGAGCTCACAGAGTTCCCTCTCGCCCTTTACCACCTGGGAACCTGCCTAGGCCCATGTTGATCCGGCTTCTGAATTACCGGGATAAAGAACGCATCCTGCGAAAGGCATGGGACATGGGGGAAATCTCTCTGGCCGGCTCTAAGATTATGCTATTTCCTGATTTTTCGCAGGAGGTGCAACGTCACAGAGCTAAATTCATGGATGTCAAGAAGCGTCTCCAACATCTCCATCTGTCCTACTCCATGATCTATCCTGCAAGGCTACGTGTGATCGCTGCTGGAGAAACCCACTTTTTTGACAACCCCTCTCAAGCTTCATCCTGGCTGGATAAATTTGACCATCGGCCACCTGAGGGCTTGGCTATCCGCATGGAGCGGATTCTTTTTTTTCAGCTCCAAAGTATGGTTACCCACCTCATCTAGCTGTGCGTGGGAGATGACCTCTCCACCTCTATGTTGTTGGCTCTGCCGCATTGGAAGGAGTCCCTATGCTGTTTTGGTTCTGTTATGGGATGCCTACGATGCCGTGGCCTGTTGCCATCTTTCCCCGAAGGTTTCCCTGCGTGGACGATTCTACCCCGGGGCTTTGCTTTTTGCTCAAGTTGTACTACATTATAACTTTGTCCCTGGATCTTTTCTTTTTTCTTTTTTCTTTTTTTTTTTTTCCTTTGGTTGCTCCATATGCCATTGATGGTTTTTCGACGAGACCAGCTATGCCTAGTGATGCCCACTGGAGGCCTTTGTGGACTGGTTTCGGTGTGTCCTCCTATTGTTAGCCCTTACCTGCTGCCAGATGTTATGCATTGCCTATGTCTGACCATCAAGTGACACTTGTCTCCTGGAATGTGTGGGGGTTGGGGGATGCAGCGAAGCGACGCTCTGTTTTTGATTGTGTTATGAGGGTTAAACCGTCTGTTATATGCCTGCAGGAGACGCATCTGACCAGGGATACCTATGGTACCCTGAACAGGCGCTTTTTTCAAACCACTGTAATATCTAAATTGCCTTGGCTTCCTGAAATAAGCTAACTTGCTATTCTCTGCTTCCAATGATAATAACGATACAATGGTTAAAAGAAGCAATGGTCTTATTTATTTATACACAAATCTAACCAAACATATTAAAAGATACAAACAGATACAATAAGACAATCAAGAGAATACTTTACACAGCAAGTCCGTCCTCTGGTTCCTATATCCTGGCTGGGCTCAAAAAGAGAGAGCAATATTGCCGCGCACGGACTTTTATCCCATTCATACACATACATCGACACCCCCTTTACCCAGAATTCCGCATGTCCCTTAAATGTCTTTCGGCCAATCGGCATGGTCCTTCACATTTGTCCACATGCACTGTAGTCCTCCAGCAGGGGGCACCATCGTACTGCAGATCATTCCTTGGCCTAGGTCAACACCTTGTCCTTTTGATCTTTAGACAATGGCCAGTCACATTCATATGCAAAATCCGGATATCTTGAACATGTCTTCCCAATGTGCCTAAACCCTTATCAACACCACAGGGTGCAACGCTTGATGTCTTGTCCCGATGAAGAAATGTCACCTTTCCCATCTCCCCTGCCATGCCCCAGGCATGAACAACACACAGTTGGTCTCTTTGATGAGCAATGCAATCAAGATTTGAAGATATCTGTTCGGCAGCTTTCGTACATGAAAATGTTGTACACTCCAACAACCACCTACCACTCCTGCTACTCTTCTTACTCCAGAGGGGTCTCAATTCTCATTCATAAAAATTTGCCGTTCTCCTGCAAGCAGATTAAAGTAGACAAAGCGGGACGATATGTATTTATTCATTGTCATATTTTAGAACTAACGTGTGTTATTGCCTCCATTTATATCCCACCGCCATTCTCCAATGCTGTGCTCCAAGACCTGGCTCGCTTCCTGGCGGATAAACTGCCGATTCCGGTCCTAGTGGTGGGTGACTTTTACGGTGTCTTGAACCCGGGTCTCGATAGGTTCCCCCATAATTTGGCACGGGATCTAGCGCCTGACACCCCTCTCAGCAGGCTATGCACGGAAATGGGGTTGGTGGACTTGTGGCGTCTAACCCATCCTGAGGATTTGCAATATACTTGCCACTCCAAGTCGCATAACTCCCTCTCACGAATTGATTTAGCCATGGGCACGCCTGAAATACTCCCGTATGTCACTTTGGTAGAAATACACCCGAGATATCTCTCTGACCACTCCATGCTATGTGTCCGGATACGCTTGGGCAGACGCCAGTCACAATTTCCCTGGCGACTACACCCGTTCTGGTTGACGCTATTTCAGGATTGCGCAGCATTGGAGAATGACGTTCGATTTTTCCTGTCGGTTAATACCCCTTCCTCGCCTGTTGGAGTGGTGTGGGACACCTTGAAAGCTTACCTTAGGGGACTCTTCATTAAAAATGTTAATTCCATTAAGTCTAAAACCAGACGGAGTCTATCCCAGGCTCGTCAGCGGGTGGCAGACAGCGAACGGGCGTATGTACACGCCCCCACAGCAGAGGCTAAGGCCGCCTGTTTGACAGCACAGAGCTCCCTTGATGCCCTATTGGAGGAACAGTCCCAAAATAAATTATTCTTCACCAAGCAGGTTTTTTGGGCAGAGGGGGATGCTGCGGGCAAACTGCTGGCCCAGATAGCTAGGGCTCAGCAGCCCTCAAGCTATATTGGAGCCATTTCTGACTCGGCGGGGGTTACACACTCGTGCCAAGACAAGGTGTCGGATATTTTCCGAGATTTCTATGCCTCGCTGTACCAAACAAGAGCTGGATACTCTTGAGGCCGAGCTTTTGACTTACTTGAGTGGCATCTCCCTCCCCTCTCTCTCACCGGCCGATGGCATGGACCTGGAGGCCCCTATCACTCTGGAGGAGCTGGAAACCGCTCTAACTAGCTTCCCTGCTGGTAAGGCCCCTGGTCCGGACGGGCTGCCTATTGAGGTATATAAATCCTACCCTACGACCCTTCTTCCCAACCTCCCAGAGGTTTACAATGATGCCTTCTCCACAGGTCATCTACCCGATACGATGTACGAGGCCACCATAGTTGTAATACCCAAAAAAGATAAAAACCTGCTGCTACCAGAAGCGTACAGGCCTATTTCACTTTTGAACACCGATATTAAGATTCTTGCTAAAGTGCTTGCAAACAGACTATCACAGAAAATTACGTCGGTGGTTCATTCGGATCAGTCTGGCTTTATGCCTAACAAATCCACGGCCATTAATATCCGCAGGGTGTTCCTGAACATGCAGGTCCCCGTGGACAACTCGGGCGGCAGAGCTCTACTCGCTTTGGACATTGCTAAGGCATTTGACAGTGTCGAATGGCGGTATCTGTGGGCCGTTCTGTCAGCCTTTGGCTTTGGTCCTAACTTCTGCAGATGGGTGCGCTTATTATACTGCCGCCCATCTGCAAAAATTAAGATTAATGATTCCCTGTCTTCTGCCTTTACCTTGCAGAGGGGCACCAGGCAGGGATGCCCGCTGTTGCCCTTGCTGTTTGCCCTGGCCATCGAACCTCTTGCTGCACTGGTCAGGCGCTCTGCGGATGTGGTAGGCTTTAGGAGGGGAATGCAGGAGGAAAAAATTGTCCTATATGCGGATGACGCCCTGTTATTCTTAGCGGACACGGAGGCATCTTTGTCTAATGTCATGTCTCTGCTGTCGGAATTTGCTGCATTCTACGGCCTGGCTGTCAACTGGGTTAAGTCCAACCTTCTCCCGCTGGACCCACTACGTGCTCCATTGGTTGCGACTGCGGCACATATACGGGTGAAGACAATTATCACCTATCTTGGAATCCAACTGACTGCCTCCCCAGTTGACTACCTCACTTTGAACTTACATCCCCCTTTTGACTAGATTTAAATCTCAACGTAATTCGTGGGCCAAGTTACCACTTTCGGTGGCTGGCAGGGTAAATTTAATTAAAATGATCTGGATGCCTCAGTTACTCTATGTCCTCCATAACTCACCCCTTTGGATTCCTAAAAAGACGTTCCGCTTAATTGACTGTATTTTTAGGGAAGTGGTCTGGAAGATGAAACCCCCGAGATTGCGACTAGATGTCCTGCAGCGCCCTAAGGCTTCGGGAGGGCTGGCTCTCCCCAACCCATGGTTCTTCTTCCTGGCTGCGCAATTACAACATCTCACAGCCTGGGCGGTTAAGGACCATCGATCCCAATCGTTTCAAATACTAGAATACCTGTTTCAAGGGTTGAGACCCTTACACTACTTAGACAGTGACCTATACGTTAAGACTCATGCTTCCCTCTCTACAGTGCGGTTGATGGGGCAGGTCTGGGATGCGGCCAAAACTGTAATGGGCATTTCTACCCTCACTAGATATACTCCGCTGTGGCGGAATGGTCGCCTCCCGGAGCTTCTCGCACTCCCGGGCACTGTGGATTGGTCTAACAAGGGGGTAATCTCAGTTTCTCAGATTTATCGGGAGGGTACACTGTGTGACTTCCAGCATTTGGTGGATACACACAGCCTATCCGGCATGTGGTATTTCCAGTTCCTCCAGATGACACACGCCCTAAGGTCCCAGTTCACAGGGGGTCCTCCAGTGATCTCGCCCACCCCGATACTTGATACGGTACTGTTGACCACCAACACCAAAGGGATCATCTCCTTCCTGTATGCTCATTTGCTGCTTAGGTCATCTGCTCATCTTTCGATGCAGGGAGGGTTGGGAAGGGGATGTAGGCCCCATGTCGGATGACACTTGGGAAGATGTCTTACAGGGGGTCACGCAGGTCTCTTTATCCCCCACGCATAGGCTGACTCAATTGTTTATTGTTCACAGAACGTATCGCACCCCTGAATTTTTGTTTCGCATAGGATTGAGGGCTGACTCCAGTTGTCCAAAATGTGGCTTCAGACGTGGCTCCTTAGTACATCTACTATGGAGATGCCCGAAATTGGTCCGGTACTGGGAGGGGGTCGTAGACACTCTCAACCTTGTGTTCACATCCTCCCTATCTAATTCACCATTGGTATGCGTCCTTGGCATTATAGAGGACACGGACCTCACTCAACACACGGTCCTGGCCCTTAGACGTGCATTATTCACTGCAACTAGGTTGGCAGTCCATAAATGGATATCCTCTTCCCCACCTACACTGACGATGTGGAATTGGATAGGATCATTGCATATGAGCGCATTACCTTTCAACAATGGGGCACCCTGGCACGGTTTCATTCCCTGTGGGATAATTGGTTGACATACCGTGGACAGGACATATCTGCGTAGACGGCATCCATGCTCCTCTCCTAGAGACCATTGATGTCTGTATCCCGTTACTTTGTCAAACTCGTAAGACCCCTGAATACAAGGTGGAGAGATGGATGTAGGTGTGTGTTGCGTTGTACATGTAGGGGGCTCACGAGGCTTTCACAATAATTGATATTGAATGTGCTCTTTTATAGGCGGGCGATGTGTTCTTGTCGAATTACATTATGTGGCTCTTATTGATATGGATGCTCTCTCTCTTTTTCTTTGTGTTTTTTGTTTCTGTAAATGTCTTTTGTATTTTCTATTATGCAAAAACGAATAAAAACTATCTGATTTAAAAAAAAAAAAAAAAAAGATCTAGAAGCATTCTATGTTAATGGTAGGTAATTAGCAGTCTTTCTTGGGAACAGACTCGCTCAGAAACTGTTCAGAATAGATAGCAGTCTGGCCTAAGGCCTTCTCCAAAGAAACGGCTAAAAGGTAAGAAATATATTTTAGGTATGCTGTGTGAATAGGAACATATAACAAACATATATAGTGGAGCTTTTCTCAAATTTGACTGCAAAAGTGGAAATGCACTAAGTGGAACTGAACTCAAAAATGTAAGTTTTGCTATGTTATAGGGGACATCTAGAAGTGTTCATTATGCCTAAACAGTACTCTGAACCATGTAACTTTTTGCCTTGAATTAGAAGTACTCCTTCTGGTATGTGAATTCTGATTTGGAGTGAGATCTCACTCCAAATCTCACTCCAAATCTTGGGAGATTTGGAGTGAGATTTGGTGATGCCACTACTGCTTACTGTTCTCCTTGCTGGAAGCTCTGACGTGAGGAAGCAAAGTCCTGCCTCTACCAAGATGGCTGCTTACATATAAAGACAAGGCATCGTAAGTCAGTAATGATCAGCTGTAAGGAGAAATCAAGCAATACTGGCAAAGCTTCCACAATTCATTTCCTCTTTAAATGTCCATTGGAAGACATGATTCATGCTACATGCTCTGTTTCATTAACAAACTTTCCCATCAAGTATCACAATACTAAAGTCATTCTTGCATTTTGGTGGTTCGATTTCCTTTGCTAGACTACAGGTGGATCTCTGGAGAAGATTGTGTCACTCCAGAAAGAAGTTGTTAGACATCGTTCACATCCTTATCAGCAATACCTGTCTTCAGCCCATTTTGGAACGCAGGTTAGTGGAAGCTCAATACAGCATGCTGCGCAGTGTTCCATGTTTTGAGTCTAGCCTCCTCAACCTAAACATCTTTTTGTTTTCCAGAGCAGAAAATATTCAACCCTATGTAGAGGAATTCTTGCAAATATTAACAAATCTTCTTCCAGAAAGGCGGTAAGGATTGTTAAAATGTACTTCTAAAATTTAGATTTGCAGCTCTTTGTGTTAAAATGTTTGTCAAGCCAAAAGCTTTTTAATTTTTTTTTTATTTTGTATAAAGTAGGGAAGGATCAGACCTCCTCTTGGGTCCTACATCTATTTTGGGTTCTGTTAAATATATTTGCTTTCATTTCCTGTTCTGTTCTGACCATGGATTTCGCGCACAGGAAGTTTGAGGAATTCTGCAACAGGGTCACAGACAGAAATTCAAATCTTTAAGGGGTTCTAGCCTTCCCCTACTATACTAAGAACAATCATTTTTTGCTGTCTGTTATTGTCCCCTCACTTCCTGTTAGGAAAAATGTTATCAGCAGGACAGGAAGTCATGGAAAATCCCTCTAATGCAGCCCCAGATAGCAGTAAAAACTTGAAAGAGGTTCTACCACCACCACCCTCAACAGACACTGTAATTTATAGGTAGTTAGTCTCATTGGTTTGTTAAACTTTCCCCCCTCTGTGTCCTCAAAATTAGTTTACCCTCGCACAACCCCTAGCTTGAAAGTATAACTAAAGCATCCTTTTAAAATCTGTTCAGCAAATAATATGTTAACAATATAAAAAATCCTGTTTTTTAATGGTAAGCTTATTTTTTTAAATTTACAGTGATGTGCACAGTTTTGCATAACATTAGTCAACTTCCACTTTGCACACAAGCTACACAAACATTGACAAACTGACAGATGCCTTCCCTAATGACAATGCACCCTCCGAGGGAGCACTGGTCAGTCAGAGGGGGTAACCGACTGTCCAGAAAGTGAAGATAAGTTCTTAGACACATCTCACGGCTAGATTACAAGCTGAATGTACTGATGCATCACTTCTCAGCAACTATATATTCCTAGCACAGGAAGCACATGGATGCTACTGGCAGTGTCACTAGGTCAAAATAAGGGAAAACAAATGTAACTGAAGGAAAACTGGAACAAGAGTAGGGGAAGCCATTATTTCTTGCATTTAAATGAGAACTATGAGATGAGTGATTTCCACTCACCTCATAGTTCTAGCCGACCTGTGACAATGAGACTGTCACAGGTCGGCTCAGTAGATCGGGAGATACGCTGTAATTGGTTCAGAACCACCTAATAATATAAATAAACAGCGGAATCCTGAACCAGTTATACCAATACCACAGCAGCAGCAGCCGTGAACTTGGTACTGTTTTAAACAGCCAGTAATTATTATACAGGATTTATACAGCGCCAACAGTTTGCGCAGCGCTTTACAATATAACGAAGACATTACAATCACAATACAATACAATTTCGAAGACATTACAATACAAAGACAATACAATTTCAAGACAAGATGGTAAGGAGGGCCCTGCACATGAGGTATTACAATCTAAAAGCAATGGCTTTTCACATACAAGCAATCCAGCGGCTATACAGCCACTCGATCGCTTGTGCAGGGTCGGGGAGTGTGCCCTCCCTCCGCTTGTTAGCCCCTATGTGATAGCAATAAAGTTACGTTTAAAACAAAATAATAGTGACGTATCAAAAAAATTACAAAGTGCAAAAAAATTTGTCAAAAGTCCCCTGCTCCCATGTACACACACAGTATGTGAAAACAACGATTGCGCCACACGTTACATATCGCCGCGAACGTCGGCATGAGAGCAATAATTCTAGGGCCATCAATTACAGTTAACACTAAACTGATGCGCGGTAAAACCTTTTAAAGTGTCTCCTAAGGGCAATTTTAGTTATTGTAGATTATTGCAATTTTAACAAGTTTTGGTGTCTATTTACCTGACACCACCCCATCTTTTATATTTTACCAACAAACTGGGTATTTTCTGTTTCTGTGCACTAAATTTAATTGTAGTGTATTTTATCCTAAAAATACTGGTTTGATAAACGTGCGCAAATTGCAATTAGCATTTTTTTAATGTCGCGTGATATTTGCGCACATGTTTATCAAACCAGTATTTTTAGGATAAAATACACTACAATTAAAATAAAAAATAAAAAAATTAGCATTTTTTTATTCTACAGGGCCACTGCTTTGAGAACATATAGAATTGTTTGGGGATTTTGAGCTGTTTTCTAGCCAAAAATTCAGATTTTGTTTCATGCGTTTGCAAAAGTTAGGAAATTGCTACGGACTGCAAGTAGTAAAACCAAACCTGTGCCTTGCACATACAGGACTTTCTTTACCTTCAGTCCCCTGTCAGTTCTTTCAGCCACCATGGGCAAATAAAGTACCCAAATGTCTGGGTAGCAGTATGTGACTTTCTGTGTGGTGTGGCAGCACTGGCCCAATGGTGTAATATGGCGGTGGGGAGACGATCATCCCTGTGTAAGCTCTATCTGGAGATTTGACTTGAGCTTATATGGGGCTGCTAAGGAGGGTATATGCTGCTAGGGAAGGGGCATTCAAGTGTACCTGTTGCTTTCCCCTTAATGCACATGTTTGCTTCATATTCCCAGGCACGATTTCTTTGACCAATTGTATCTATTTGAGTTACTTAAAGATTAACTAATCATTAGAGATTCTTAAATGAAGGTGGTGGATGGATGAAGGTGGTGGGGGTTCAAGTGCTGTCATGTTATGATTTACTTACTATTTAATTATTTTATATTGCATATATTTAATTATTATTATTAACCTGCCTGCCTTTTGGGAACTGTACTCGCAAGAGTGCCATTGTTGTTCATATGCCTGTGTTTTTGTATCTTGCCTGCAGGTTTCTGTGTGATTATGATGAGCAGTTCCCAGTAGCTGAGGATATCAGTTTGCTGCAACAAGTTTCCCCTTCAATGTATCCTTCGAATAATCTTATAGCAGAAAGAATTAAAAATGTACCGTTCAGTTTTGACATTTTTAGGAGACCTGTAGTGGTTGTCGGAATTAAATGATGAACGTGTTCTGGGAATCAATGTAGTGAAGCCAGTGTCAGTGTGGCTGTCAGGCATCTTGTATTTTCAGGAGAGGTCAGCAATGGTATATTTTACATTTGTGCTTATATTAACCTCTAGCCATCCGCCCGTAGTATAAAAACGGACGGACGGCACTGCTGCATTGGCGGGTTGCCGTCTCTAGAGGGCAATTTTTTTCTGCTCGCGCGCACCCCCTAGCGGGCAGGCACGGGCAGAAAAGACCCGACCATTGATGCTTATATTAACCTCTAGCCATCCGCCCGTAGTATAAAAACGGACGGACGGCACTGCTGCATTGGCGGGTTGCCGTCTCTAGAGGGCAATTTTTTTCTGCTCGCGCGCACCCCCTAGCGGGCAGGCACGGGCAGAAAAGACCCGACCATTGCACACACCCGTTACCGGGTGTTTCACATATAGGTCCATAGCCCGCCGATCGCCTATATGTGCTCGTTCGCGTACCGCCCCATCTCTGCTTCATCAGCTTCTTTTGGGGTCCACAGGTGACATTAGGGGTCCTAGAGACCCCTAATGTCTCCATAAAGAGGACCTGTCAGTGTGCCTTTGCTATTATATAGGGGGATTGTTAT